CCCCAAAACCCCAAAACCCCAAAACCCCATCTATTAGATTCTACTGTATGTAAGGAGTTCTAAGATAAATTTCATATTCTGACTAAATCTTTGATAATAGGATCTTTATTTTAAATCAATGAAGTTATTATAATTAATAATTAGAATAACTAGATGAATAAATCTGTTGTTGTCGCTAGACACTCTTATGCAATTTTCTCTATTCTGCAGTTCCTAAGACCAAGTTTAAGGACCAGACTATAACTACTATGCAAGTATTTCTACGATAAAATCATCCCAGAGTTGGTCTTTTCTTTCCCAATTTTAGAATCAAATAAAGATGACTACTTTGAACTTTTCAAAGATTAGAAAGTTATCAGAATAAATCAGAGTTCGGGTCAAACAATCTTATATTCATAATAAATCAGACAATTAGTAAATACCAGCTTAAGCCCTCAAAACCAGATTGTTTAGCAATGGAATAATACCAAGTTAGAGGTCCCAGCTGGGTTTTAATTTGAGAAAATAATATTTGTTGATTACTAGTATTACTTATTCAACTCAACACCTACAGCAATGAAAGTTTACAAGTTGATAGGAAATAAAATTGTTCAAGTTAATGAAGCAAAAATGGTAAAGACCATCCAATCATGCTATGTTGCAGTGCAAAATCGATATATTCTTAGAATAGGAGGGTATTAAAGCCTACTTGATGAGAAAAAATCAAAGTAAATGGTATTTTCAATGAGAATTGCTCCAAAAAGCAATACATAATATGACAACATTATCAAGATATTTGACATAGTAACTAATTAATGGATAAACACTAATAAATTCGGTTAATTAAGCAATATTAGGCACGGTTGCTCTGCATCTGTCCACAATAAAAATTTGTATGTTTTCGGAGGAAGTTACTTTATTCAAAGTGGCAATCGAATTAATGTACTTGCTCACTAACCAACAATTGAGAAGTAGGACTTACTTAACCCTTAATAGCAATTCTAAGTCATTGATTTTAAGATGAAGATTCCAATGGAAACTTTATTCTCTTGCTAGCATCTCGCTTAGGATCATTTCTTTATCTTCGGATAAATAGAGAGTAAAGCTAATGCTACTAAAACAAAATAGAGTAAATTGATTTGTAACTTCTATCGATATAATGTCTCCTCACATCAATATCAAAAGAAAAAATAGGGAAAAGTAGAGGATAAGATTTTAGATCAACTTTAGACACAAGGATTAGAAAAGTAGAAACAAAATACGAACTTTTAAGATATTAAGGCATATAACGGTATTCATGTGATTACGAACGATTTCGGTGCTGTTGTGTTTTAAGACAAAGAATTATTAAATCACGAGAAGTACATTTTAAGTTGGAAAATTGGTTATGATGCTGTAAAGTAGCCTGATCCTCCAAAACCGAAGCTATTAAAACCATCAGTAAATGATTAAGCGAAAATTGGCTAGAATTTAAACAAGCGACCATAGACTGCACTTCCGATAAGAAAGACTAATTTGGCTTAAAGACCTTAATCAGCCGTAACTAGACCTGTAGTATCTAGAAGATTAGTTCAAGGAATTATAAATTAACGATGAATCAAAGCAAACTCCATTATAAACTTATAACCTAATTAATTAGGTAATCAAGAGTTTAATATATATTTGGAAATTTTAAAAATAAAAATTATCATTTTTATAATAAAGATTAGCTAAAAAATGTTTATATTCAAATACTTCTTCAAGGGGTTTTGGGGTTTTGGGGTTTTGGGG